TAATCCGTGTACTCGAATTACAGCCACACAGGTATTTTAGCATATCTTTCTTGTATTAGGAAATATGAGGATCATCTTAACTGTAGCATTGATGAGATAAAAATAGAATTTCATAATATTGTCTAACATTCTTTATTATACTGGAAAGATGTGTTTTTGTTTTAAGGAATAACATTTTATCTTCAAGCTACAAGCACTATTCAGATTGGTATTAAATTATGTATGTACAACTACAGGAGAGTTTATTTGGAACATAAATACATACCAATTTCATAATTAATTGGCTTTCAAGTAGTCTTCCTAGAGAAGAAAAAATAATAAGGTTTGTATTTGTTAAGACACTGGTATATTTCTTTTTTAAAATGTATTTTTATTGATTTCAGCGAGAAAAGGGAAAGTGAGAGAAACATAGAAACATTAATGATGAGAGAGAATTACTGACCAGCTGCCTCTTGCAGGCTTCCTACCAAGTGATCAAGCCCGCAACCGGGGTATGTGCCCTGACCGGGAATTAAACTGTGACTGCTGGTTCATAGGTTATGATCAACCAATGAGCCACAACCAACTGAGTAAGACACTAGTATATTTCAATTAGATGTTATGTATAATTGAAATGTTGTGCCAAGCCTAATGCCTAAAGCGTTTTCTTGTTTCCCTTAAAATACAGTCCAGATATGCACACTGGCCATTATTACAGTCAGAAAGTGATAATGGGGAGAAAAATGGTATAGTTCAGTAAAACTGTACTTACAAGAGATTGGAAAATAGTCCAAATAGAACAAACACTGAAACTGACAGTTGTTTAAGGAAATGAAAATCAAACTCGCCCTAGCTATTTTGGCTCAGTGGATAAGAGTGTCAGCGGACCGAAGGGTCCCAGGTTCAATTCCAGCCAAGAGCGTATGCCTGGATTGTGAGTTTGATCCCATTGCAGTGGTTCTCAACCTTCTGGCCCTTTAAATACAGTTCCTCATGTTATGACCCAACCATAAAATTATTTTCGTTGCTACTTCATAACTGTAATGTTGCTACTGTTATGAATTGTAATGTAAATATCTGATATGCAGGATGGTCTTAGGCGACCCCTGTGAAAGGGTCGTTCAACCGCCAAAAGGGTCACGACCCACAGGTTGAGAACCGCTGCATTAGGGGGTTGTGCAGGAGACAGCCAATTGATGATTCTCTCACATCATTGATGTTTCTATCTCTCCCTCTCCCTTTCTAAAATCAATAAAAACATTTTTTTTTAAAAGGAATGAGGCATTGATACATGCCACCACCCGAATGAACCTTGAAAACATTAAAAATAAAAGAATCAAACTCAACAAAAATTTGAAAGACCAAGTATATCTGCTCTCTAGAAATGTTATCCAACACAAAAATGTAAGAACTATAGATTTGAGAAAAGAAACAAAACACATTTTCCTTGTAAAAACAAGCACACAAACAGACAGGGTAAAATCACAAACACTTAAAATCGGGGCAAGGATATGTAAAAGTGTAACAGTGCAATGATTTGGCTTCATAAAGGAAGAGACTAATTAAAATGAAATGTCAAGTCTTCCGATCTAATGAAACTTGTTAATATACACTATATCAAGGATACAAAGTGGACTTTTTTTCCACTTGTTTATTACAGATGGTCACATCACTGTTTAGTGCATTTACTTCTATAAGCCCTCTTTTTATGTAAATGCTACATGAATACATACAAGTAACTCACTACCTTTTCACCCATACATATATGCATATTATCTCCATCATATGAAACTCCAGATCAGATCAAACTATATAGAAAGTTGTTTTCATTAATAGTAAAACTGCATAGAGAGCTGAATTACATAATATCTTATTAAGGATATTTCATATTTAGTATAGACTGTGTAATTGTGGAAAATTAAAAGGTAGTGTCTTTCTTACAATAATAGAATTATCAGTCAGTCTTGGGCTCCTAGATGTTTATTTGTAATAATTTGCTTGTCTAAATACTTGACATTAATTTCATTTTTTGGAAGCAGGGGGCTTCACATAGCACTTTTAATGTTCCCAACAATTTTAAGGTTAGATTTCTTTAAACACAATCCAGATAGTAACTTAAAAGTTTACTTTCTTTGCTATCTGTTCTTTTAAAAGGCATTGAAAACTAAGTATTTCAGTAATCGGCCAGGGCCAACACCTGGATGTCAACTGCCTAGACCAAACTGTCCAGTGGAAACTTTAAAGGAGCAGGCTAATCCATCTCTGGCAACGAAACGGAAGAGAACAGAAGCCTTGGAACAAGGTAAAACTCTCAATTTTATAAGAAATGCAGTGAATACAGATAGAATGTGGTGTTTTTAGCTGCATTTGCAAAAATTCTTTTGAGAATATTTACAAGATGCTCTTTAAAAGGACAAGAACACTTTAAAAAGTATATATATTTTATTGATTTTTTTACAGAGGAAGGGAGAGGGATAGAGAGTTAGAAACATCGATGAGAGAGAAACATCGATCAGTTGCCTCCCTACTGGCACACTCCCTACTGGCTAGTTGCCTGCAACCAAGGTACATGCCCTTGACCGGAATTAAACCTGGGACCCTTGAGTCCTCAGGCCGACGCTCTATCCCTGAACCAAACCGGTTAGGGCGACAAGAACACTTTTGAGTGTACCTCAGAGTAACCAGAACTATCAGTGTGTACCTTCTCTTCATGAATTCCTACTGGTACACTGTATGCTTAATGTTTAACAAATGCTATTGGGAAAATTAAAGCAAATAAAATAAATGTAATGGGAATGCAATGACTGCTTAAAATTGCCATTAACTTAAATGTGAACAACCTCTTTTTTTTTTTCACCTAGGAGGATTACCCAAGAAGCTAATTTTTTAGTTACAGATAACACTGGACAGTATTTCACTACTGAAGGAAATAGTCAAAATGGCAAATAATTTAAAAATAGTAAACATTAAGTAAATGCTATAGAAGGAATTGTAAATATTCTACACATGTAAAATATGTAAAACAATTATTTTTATTAAATGTATTTTAAAACAAACTTAATTTTGATTTTTCTGATTAGAGTGCAAAAATAAGTTCAGTTCTCTGAAATGCATTAAGGAAATCTTAATAAAAATAATTTCCAGTTATTTTGATGATCTGGCTCCTATAACATCACAAAGTGGTAGTAATAGGGACAATATGGTAGTAATGTAACAAATACTTTAGTTAATATACTAAATAGGAAAAAAGAAAAATTATTACAGATAAAATTGAAGTCCCTTTAATAAGTCATTCTGTTCAGTTTCTTCCTTTTCACCCTACCCAAAGGAGAATGGCTAAGGAGATGAGTGTGTCCTCCCCTGATTTTATACTGCTATTTTATAAAATTGCATGTAGTAATAATACACAGCATTGTTTTAGGTCTCAAAATTTTATGTGAGTGATAGACTATACACCTCATCCTGCAAATTTTTTTACTGAAAACTTTTGAATTTATTCTATGTTAATATATATACATCTAGTTTATTTTAACTGTCATATATCATACTAGAGGCCCGGTGCACAACATTCATGCACGGGGTGGGGGGGTGTCCCTCAGCCCAGCCTCCACCCTCTCACAGTCCAGGAACCCTCGGGGGATCCTTAGCACTGCTGCAGAGGTGGAAGAAGCTCCTGCCACTACCTCTGCACTCGCTACCCATGAGCCCAGCTTCTGGCTGAGCAGTGCTCCCTCTTTGGGAGCACACTGACCACCATGGGGCAGCTCCTGTGTGAGTGTCTGCTCCTGGTGGTCAATGCGCATCATAGCAACCGGCCGTTCTGCCATTCGGTCGATTTGCGTATTACTCTTTTATTATATAGGAGGATTATATCTGATATGTGTACAATATTACTTACATATGCTCTACTTATGGACTGTTTTTATTTTGCTGCATAAAAATTGCCATAAATATAGCAGCTTAAATTAACAAAAATTTATTAGCTCACAGTTGTGAGGTCAGATAGGCCAAAATCAAGGTATCAGTGGGACTGGGTGCTTATCTGAAGCTCCAGGGAAGAATCTGTTTCCAAGTTCATTTAGTTCATGCTGCTTTAACGCACATGCCATCTTTCCTTCCCAGCTGTCAGCCAGGGGCCTCTCTCAGTTTCTCAAGGCAGTGCACATACCTTGTTTTATGGTACTTTTCATCTACAAGCCAGCATCAGTGCTTCAGGTTGTCTGTCTTCCTCATCAGCTACTAAGAAATCTCTGCTCCTTAAAAAAAAGGAGTTGGGGGAGCCGCTCACCTAATCGGGTTATTCATATATTAAGGTCAACTCACTTGGATTTTAAATACATATTAAAAATCTCTTCATGGCAGTTATCTACACTGTCCCTAGATGGGAATCGTGAGAAGGGTCGTCTTTAGAATTCTACCACATGGATATTTAGGTTATTTTAGTTTTTCAAAATTATTTTAAAAGTAGAACATTTATATGCATATGTATTTTTATATTTTTATTTTGAAATTTCAGAGAGGAAGGGAGAGGTAAAGAGAGAAACATCAGTGATGAGAGAGAATCATTGGCTGCCTCCTGCACGCCTCCTACTGGGGATCAAGCCTGCAACTGGTGCATGTGCCCTTGATCGGAATCGAACCCGGGACCCTTCAATCCCCAGGCTGATGCTCTATCCACTAAGCCAAACCAGCTAGGGCTCCTTAGCCTTTCATTTTATATGAAACTCTTATATATACTAGGTCTGTGTATGGTCTTCATCCTATTCCATTGACCTGCTGATACCACACTGCTATAAGTAATGTAGCTTTGTATTATTATCAGGATACTATATCTTAATATCTGATAACAATAGTTCTTCATCATTCTTCTTTTTCAAAGTTCACTTGCCAGGTTTTCAGCTTTTATTATTATTTACTAATGCCAATTAAATACTCTCCTTTTAACACAACCATAAATGATTTATATTGTTACCTTATACTCTATTGTTACCTATTTAAGTAGTATTCAGTGAAGCCATGTATCTTTTCACTGGAGATCATAATGAGATAAATTTTATTATAATTGCTGGTAATGTAATACATTTCCTTTGACATAATTGTGATGCTACTAATATAGCAACATTCCCAAAAGTTATTAAAGATTATTACTATGTAATATGTATAGAAATAGAAAATTAAGTGGCCTAAAATTTAGCATCAAAACCAAGAAGTTAATTCAGACTGGTCTGAATACCAGAATTCTGGTAGATTTGGCTATAGAATGTCATTACATCAACAAAAAAAACTAGGAAGGTTACTAGCTGTGACTTTGAATATACTTCTGCCAAAGTTCCACCATAAAAACTTTTAATTGAGATTAACTTAAGGAAATTTTATAAAAATGTTATGTGGCAAATGAAAAATCCTGAAAACACACACAAATAAAACATGATAAATGTATTTCACAAATTAACATGCCATCACTCCTAGGCATTGTTGTCATTTCTTAGAGCATTAATTTACATTATATTCTTGCTTGAGCCGGTCAAAGATCCCCATAGTCATTCTAAATAGTTAAGTAATGTTTTGCTTTTCTCAAAATAATATTTGTTTTTAAGAAGTTGGCAAATAATGAAGATTTTATAAAATATAGTAATGTAATTTATAAATATGTCATCACAGAATACTAATAAATTTCTTATAGAAAACATTTGAGTATTTAAGCTGCCTCCTAAAATTTAGAAATACCCGGAAAACATACAATTTCTGAAGATGTGGCAATGTTTACACAATCCTTTTTCAAAGTCTCTTGACAAACAGTTCTCAGTTCTAATTTCAACTGGTTTATCTTCAAAAGATGATATTTCGTGGCAAAGAATGAGATCTTTTCAGAGTTCTTCTATAGTTTTGATCTGTATGAAGGTGCTGGATTGAACAAACACAGCCCACAGAATTAAAAATGTGAACACTTGAATGTACAGGATCATGCAAAACAGAGAATTCTGACGTTTTCTGCTTGGGGTGTTTTAATGAAAAATTGTCCTTCATGGGATTTTTTTCTTTATTCTCTCTTGAGCCTATGTCTTTGTCTTCCAGTGCCCGAGCAAGCATGTAGCTAACTTTTCTCTGATGAGCCAAAGCTTCTTCTTTATCATTCAGCTGCATGCACAGGAATTAAACATGTGCCAGTTAGTCAACAAGTAACAGTATAGAACTATAGTCAGAAGCATTTTTCAAAACATTCAAGCTGGCCCTAGCCAGTTTGGCTCAGTGGATAGAGTGTCAGCCTACGGACTGAAGAGTCCCGCATTCGATTCTGGTCAAGGGCACATGCCTGGGTTTCAGGCTCAATTCCCAGTAAGGAGGTGTGCAGGAGGCAGCCAATCAATGATTCTCTCGCCCTCTCCCTCTCTGAAATCAATAAAAATATATTTGCCGAAACCGGTTTGGCTCAGTGGATAGAGCGTCGGCCTGCGGACTGAAGGGTCCTAGGTTCGATTCCGGTCAAGGGCATGTACCTGGGTTGCAGGCACATCCCCAGTGGGGGATGTGCAGGAGGCAGCTGATCGATGTTTCTCTTTCATCGTTTCTAACTATCTCTCTCCCTTCCTCTCTGTAAAAAATCAATAAAATATAAAAAAAAAAAAATTTTTTTTAAAAATATATATATATATTAAAAAAAAAAAAGAAATTGCCAAACTGTTTTAAACAATGTTCAGTCTGTGAAGTTAGTCAATATGAATAAATTAATTAGGTGTCCACTCATTCCCAAGCTTCATGCTACAAGTTATGGAGGATATTTTTTTAAGGAAGAAGAGAAAACTATTCTTTTTTAAAAAATATATTTTATTGATTTTTTTTAAAAAATATATTTTATTGATTTTTTACAGAGAGGAAGGGAGAGAGATAGTCAGAAACATCGATGAGAGAGAAACACCGATCAGCTGCCTCCTGCACATCCCCCACCAGGGATGTGCCCACAACCTAGGCACATGCCCCTGACCGGAATCGAACCTGGGACCCTTCAGTCCGCAGGCCGACGCTCTATCCACTGAGCCAAACCGGTTTTGGCTTTATTGATTTTTTTTACAGAGAGGAAGGGAGAGGGATAGAGAGTTTGAAACATCAATCAGCTGCCTCCTGCACACTCCCTACTGGGGATGTGCCTGCAACCAAGATTCATGCCCTTGACCAGAATCGAACCTGGGACCCTTCAGTCCACAGGCCAAGGCTCTATCCACTGAGCCAAACCAGCCAGGGCGAGAAACTATTCTTCTGAAAATTTTAAGTCATCTGAAGGGAGGAGGAAATACATATATAAGTATATATACATATAAAATCAACAGGTACTTATCTCTGTAAAAGAAGGGGAAGTTAAATATAAAATTGTTTTTATATTTGTATGCAAATAACTAACACTCTCGTATAGATGAGCATGTTCGTATAATGTGAGTCTCTTATCTGTGAGATGGGGATAACAGGACTGGTTTCAAGCATGTGGCAGTGATTAGAGGATCTCTGAGGAAGTGGATGGATAAGTACAAGGTCTTGTCATAAACTGTATTTCAGTGCAGGTGACAGATGCCTGGAGTTAATTATGGGGAGCCCTCTTTTTTCAGAGGTGGAGCTTAAGTGGGAAGAGCATGCAGAGAGTTTAAGGAGATGAAGGGGCATAAAAGTTAAGTGTAAAGTGGAAGAGTTGAATTAATAAGCAAAAAGAAAGCAACGATACTAACCAAATCTATTAGCATCTTAAAGATTTCCTGAGGGTTATCCTGGTCTTCAGTCTTCTTAGAACTATTTTCTGCAGGGAGCATACCCAACAGTTTCTGCCCTAGGGTCTTCTTAGTCCTTTGTGATAGTGATCCTAAAATTGAACATGAAAATCCAGCTGAGACATAAAAAGACACTTATGGATGTAGTACTTCCAGGAAAAGAGGTACGTTGACCCAAGGCTAATTCACTCCTCGGTCAGGAGGTTGTCCTTCTCAGGAGACCACTAACACAGGTGAGTCAGGTAGCACAGTGGAGGGGGAAAAGCACAGGCTTTAGCGCCAAGATAGTAAATGCAAGGAGAGGGCCACAGTGAGAATCCAGAGCAACACGCTGCCATTCGTCGCATCACCGCTCCTCAGCTGGCTACAATGGCTGCTCCGGGAGAGAGTGCAGCCCATGCTACCAGATCATCTAAGTCCTCCAGAGGAGCCAGCAATCCAGATTTGTATGTGATATCTCCCAATTTTAAATGTCAGGCACTTACCCACATTATTTGAGAACACCATGCAGACCCCACAAAACATATCTATAGGCCAGTGGCCTCTGAACCATGTGAACTCAGCTTTAGAACCAGAAAGACCTGGACTTGAATCTTCACTTAGCCACTTACTGACTGCATGACCGTGGACAAGTTCTGAGCTTCATTTCCTCACCTCTAGAATAGGAATAGTGCCTGTGCCTCAAGGTTGCTGTGGTATTAAATAATAGAGCATCCGCTGCTGGAGGAGAGTGGACAGTGAGCATTTAATTGGTACAGAGTTTCTGTTTGGGAAAATGAAAAAGTTCTGGAGATGGATGGTGGTGATGGTTACACAACAATGTGAATATGCTTAATGTTGCTTAAAAATGGCTAAGGTGGTAATTGTTTTACCACCAAAACAAAAAACCCATAGTTGTGAAAGCATCTAGCCCAGGTACTGACAAAGTTGAAAAATCCACAACCTGAAATATGTGCACTAATGTTCTTCATCCATAGAAAGAATGCAATTTATAGTACAAGGTACAAAATTAATAGATTCATACAGAGAAAATGTCAAGGTTGCTTTTGGAATGCTTTGCAAATGGTCTCCTGGGAAACCAAGAGCAGATAAACCACAGTGACTGGGGCTCACACCTGATCTCTTCTGTGAGCAACTGTGGCAAAGTGGAAACACCAGACCAGCTGCCCCTCTCGCAGCTTCAATGAGAGGATGAACCTGTCTCTACATTCAGCCTAAAAAGGACCTGTGCTTGTAAACTCTCTCAGAACTTGTCTCAAGAAGAAAAGTTGATGCCTTCAGTGTTAACCACACAAAAGAAAATGACCTGTAATAATCATCCTATACCTGCTCAGATTATTGGAATATATACTAGTAAAATTAGAATCTTGTCAGTAAGAAACACAGAATTACTGAAACTTGTAAGGACTTGTAACATCTTTTCAGAGATGAATCAATTATTTAAATTTTGCTTCTAAATCTCTCAGTGCCTTAAGGGAAAGCAAAGACTGGGAGCTACACCTATCAAACAATCTATGGAAAAGTTCCTAAAGTTTATTACTAGCTAAGAAAGGCAGGAATTCTGGAATATAAAATGAGTCCAGCCCTAGCCGGTTTGGCTCAGTGGATAGAGTGTCAGCCTGTGGAGAGAAGAGTCCCAGTTTCGATTACTGTCAAGAACACGTATCTCAGTTGCAGGCTCCTCCCTAGCCGTGGCCCTGGTCAGGGCGTGTGCAGGAGGCAACCAATCGATGTGTTTCTCTCACATCGGTATTTTCCATCTCTTCCACTCTCTAAAAATCAATGGAAAAAAATATCCTTGGGTGAGGATTAATTAATAAATAAATAAATAAATAAATAAATAAATAAATAAATAAATAAATAAATAAAATGAGTCCAGCCCAGTTGGTGTGGCTCAGTGGTTGAGTATCAACCTATGAACCAGGAGGTCACAGTTCAATTCCTGGTGGTGGGCTCGATCCTCAGTAGGGGGCGTGCAGGAGGCAGACAATCAATGATTCATCATTCATGTTTCTCTCCCTCTCTGAAATTAATAAAAATACGTTTTAATATAATAAATAAAATGAGTCCAGCCCTAGCCAGCGTGGCTCAGTGGATAGAGCGTCAGCCTGTGGACTGAAGGGTCCCAGGTTCAATCCTAGCCAAGGGCACATGCCTGGGTTGCAGGCTGGATCCCCAGTAGGGGGTGTGCAGGAGGCAGCCAATCAATGATTCTCATCATTGATGTTTCTATCTCTCCTTCTCCCTTCCTCTCTGAAATCAATAAAGAAATATACTAAAAAAAAATAATGAGTCCATACTCAAGTGCTGAAATGAGTACAAATCTACCTCTTAAAAACGCAGCTTGGTCTACATAGCACTACCCTTATGGCCAATATCCATACATAGTAGCAGGCCTTCTATGCAAGTGACAGAATGTGACAAGCTTTCATAAGATTACTTTTTAATCATGTCTGCCCCTCCTTTTCCTATTTCGCCCATCACTCTTCTCCCTACAGTGCTGCCCTCAAAGAGTATTCCTTTGAAATGCTGCAGTGTGGCTCCTATCAAGGGCATAGCAGAGAGAAGAGATGCGCGAGGATGATCGCCCACACAGTTGTTGTCCATGGTAGAAAAATTCTTAATGTTTCCCACTGATTCCTAAAAGGCTAAACACATGGACTATGTCTTATTTCCCTGGCAAAATCACCCACCTTGAGTTGGACATGGAAGTTTTTGTCAAGGAATTATAGAAAACAACCATATAAATATTGATTTTGTACTTCCTATAAAGTACTGTTGATGACTTCACCATTATATTTGCTTAATGGCCTCTATAAGTCTCATGTCACAAAAACTTTTAGGAGTTAATTTCAGGACAATGTGGAATGCCATTAGAAGAGTACCAACAATTATCCTGTTATTTTATGGCTTTGTTAATCCCAATAGCTCTACATATGTAACATCCAGTGATCCCTTTCTTCCCATAGATACTAAAATTTTAAATCACAACTGTATGCAAAATTTTAATTATATTATCAATTGTATTAAATATGCTTAATCAACTTTGATTATAACCAAAAACTTCCGAAATTATACCTAATTTTGTCATTATAGTTCATATTTACCATCCTCTTTAAGGTGCTTCGAATTTATCCACTTTGTTTCTTTTTTACACATTTTATCCATTTGTGTCAATCTTAGTGCCTGGTCATTTTTCCTCATTAATTGTTGCTCAAATGCAATTCTGAATGCATCTGCCATTATGTAAGCTTCTTCTTTTCTCTTCTGCAAAAGTTCCAGCTGGTTTTGAAAGAAAGTTTGAAAGGTGTCAGAGGCAAAACCAGAATAATTCTTGTCTGAATGCTGAGTCAGATTAGCTAATGCAATCTCCCTGCCTAGCATGGGACTACTCTGTCCTTGGTCTATTTCATCTGCTTTAATTAGTATGTGCCCGTTCTCATTGGCAGGAGCTGCCCACTCTGAACTGGATTACCAGAAATTCCCCTTGTGGTGCCTGTCAGTTCTCTTGGACTTCATTATCGTTGACAGGCCCTGTGTGTGTTTTGCCCCAGTAGGGAGAAGGGAGACTGCCAAAGCCTGCATTTCAGTACTCCGGTGGGCCATTCCAGACAATAACACTGAAAATGATTTTGAATATCATCTTTCAGACAACTATAGTTGACCCTTACTCTGATCTATGTAATCATATGCTTCTCCTAATGAATTTTTAATATTTAGCTGTTAGCTTTTCCATATAGTCTGAAGACTTTAAATTTCATACCTTCAGTAAAGGTAAAATATTTTTAAAATTATGGCCCATGCTAAAATGACAGCTACCATTTGATTAAATGCTGGGCACGTGCTAAATATATGTCTACTTCCTCTATTTCTTACAACAACCCTCCAAACTAGTTATTACCTTTGTCTAACATATGTGTCCAGAGCCAGAGCTAGACAGTGATGGACCTAAGATCAAAGCTAGGTTTGGTAGCACAAAGGCTCCTTCCACTGAACCTCACTGCTCTTCTAATAAGCTTCATGTTGATCTCATTAATCAGTGATGCAGATCCTAGCAATTTTAAGTAGAAGTGCACCTTTTCCTCCAATCCTATATAATAAAAGGGTAATATGCAAATTGACCCTAACAGCAGAATGACCAGGAACGACCGGTCGCTATGACGCGCACTGACCACCAGGGGGCAGATGCTCAACACACTCAACACAGGAGCTGCTTCCTGGTGGTCACTGCACTTCCACAGAGGCGGAAGAGGCTCCTGCCACTGCTGCTGCGCTGGACAGCCTCTCCTGCCTCTGTGGCAGTGCTAAGGACAGGGGTCCTCAAACTACGGCCCGCAGGCCACATGCAAATACAAATATTGTATTTGTTCCCATTTTGTTTTTTTACTTCAAAATAAGATATGTGCAGTGTGCATAGGAATTTGTTCATAGTTTTTTTTTAAACTATAGTCCGGCCCTCCAACAGTCTAAGGGACAGTGAACTGGCCCCCTGTTTAAAAAGTTTGAGGACCCCTGGCTAGGGATATCCAACTAACAGCTTAGGACCACTCCCCACGGGGAATGGGCCTAAGTCATTAGTCGGACATCCCCTGAGGGCTCCCGGGCTGCCAGAGGGATTTCTGACTGCCAGCTTAGGCCCAATCCCTGGGGAGCAGGCCTAAGCCAGCAGGTGGACATCCCCCAAGGGGTCCCATACTGGGAGAGGGTGCAGGCCAGGCTGAGGGACCCGCCCCCCCCCCATCCGAGTGCACAAATTTTCATGCACCAGGCCTCTAGTATACAGTATAAACAAAAGAAATAGAATTTAGGAAGTATTAACTACAGTCTTAGGCAAACAACTTTATGTGGCTACAGTATCATGCCAAATACTATTTGTGTTCTGGAACCATATCCAGTTTATAAGTTAATGCTATTTTATAAAACTAAGCATAAGATCCATCACCAATGACTAGTAAAATGAAGCTAATAATTGAAAATACTTCCATTTATTCTACTATTAATAGAGAAACAAAACCAAGGCTTTTACTGTTCTAATAATACGATACCTCTTGTTTGAGCTGAAGAATCCTTTTCTGAGCAGATGCCGCCATTTTGGCACAGGAACAGGGGCTCCCTCCAGGACCATGACAAAGGCAGGCTCCAAGGACCGCAAGCTTTAAATCCAAAAGCACTACCCTGTTTCTAAGTGTCACACTGCTTAGCTGGACACAAATGCAGGGGCACACCCACACATACCCACACACATTTCTAGTCAAGCATTTTATTCAAAGAAATTGGGGGGAAAAACAGAAGAAAAATGAGACCAGCATTTCAGCATCCAAGAGAAGGTTAATTACATGCAAACGAGGAAAGAATGTTGGTACTTGGGACAAAAATATAATGGAATTCTACCTTCCTTCTTTTCACTCTCCACCATCACCTTTAACCTAGCACCAGTTTCCTATAATTCTGAATCTTTGGCAGGAACTTGACCTAGTGAAGTCAATATTAACATCCACAATGTGGACTTCCTGTGACTGGACTTGGCCCTGCTGCCCAGCATTCATTACTGCCGGCTCCTGTCAGGGAGAGTCGCATACTCAAAAATGAATGCATTTTAATGTCAATGAGAAAAGCAATCATCTGTCCACGCCTTTAAAAAAAAACACTGATTATATAACGTGAGGCCCTACTAATATAGCTTCTGCTAAAACTGTAAAACTAAGGAATAAAAGGAAGTAAATGGCTAACATATTCCTTAATCTCCAAGAATGACATGCATGAAGGGTGTGGGACCAGCAAGACAAGAGCTGAACTAGACAAACCCATGGGCCTCAAATTGTAAGTATGGTGCTGTCCTGGAATGTGTAACAGATGGTGACGATGGGAAGTAGAAAATTTCCATCCTCCTAAGCTTTCATACCTGCTTACCTACCTCAAGGCCTGAAAACGCTGTAAAGTCACTTTTAGCATCGCACATGTTTTCCTGAACCATCTTCTGCTGTTTGATTTCAAGCATAGCAAGGGCTTCCAAATACTGTTGATTCAAGCCTAGGAAGGGCCATACAAGAAAGTGTTAGTTATGAGGGCGAACTCTGGTCTCACCTAATCTTGTTACATCAACATCTATACTCATTCCTTACAAGCAATGCATATACAACAGGCATTGCCCACAAAATTTGGCCCCATCCAGAAAATCTGATAGAATAGTGGGTATGGATGGAGTGAGAGAATACATGTGTAACACTAGGTAAAATGTTATTACTTCTAAGTGGAAGTATCTTAACTTTGCAACCTAAGTCTAGTCTTCATTTACTCGGAAAATTTGTAGCATTTTCAAAGAGAAAATATACAAAGGCAAGTTAGAGACGTTGTAGTGAGATAACCAGATAGTGAGATAACCAGAGATAATCATATTTGTTTTTTGTCAAATGTACCAGCAATCCGCCCTAGCTGGTTTGGCTCAGTGAATAGAGCATCGGCCTGCAGACTGAAGGGTCCCGGGTTCAATTCTGGTCAAGGGCACATGCCCAAGTTGTGGGCTCGATCCCCAGTAAGGGGGTGGACAGGAGGTCCACTTCGGCCTGTGGACCAAAGTTGATCAGATCAACTTTGATAAAATAAAATGATGTGGAACAATGCATACAATCAGCCCTCCATATCCATGGATTCCCAACTATGGATTGAAAACAGTGTTTCCATCTGAGGTTGGTTAAATAACCAGATGCAAAATCCAGGGAAAAGGAGGGTCAACTGTATGTTTATTGAAAAAATTGGTGTATAAGTGGACCCACGCAGTTCAAACCCGTGTTGTTCAAGAGTCGGGTGTATATGTGTGCACTTCCCCCCACCACACATCCCTTATATAATGAGCTACCTTACGACAAAAATTAATGAAAGAATATTAAAGTGTGTGTGTTTTTAAAAAAATATATATTTTATTGATTTTTTACAGAGAGGAAGAGAGAGGGAGAGGAATAGAGTTAGAAACATTGATGAAAGAGAAACATTGATTCAGCTGCCTCCTGCACACCCCCCACTGGGGATGTGTCCGCAACCCAGGTACATGCCCTTGACCGGAATCGAACCTGGGATCCTTCAGTCCGCAGGCCGATGCTCTATCAACTGAGCCAAACCGGTTAGGGCAATATTAAAGTGTTTTAAGAATATTAAGGTGGTACCAACTTTTTATAAAATTCTAAGAGAAGATATTGATTCTCCCTTCTGAACAGAAACTATTTTAAAGTGGTGGCTTGGCCGAAACCGGTTTGGCTCAGTGGATAGAGCGTCGGCCTGCGGACTGAGAGGTCCCAGGTTCGATTCTGGTCAAGGGCGTGTACCTGGGTTGCGGGCATATCCCCAGTAGGAGATGTGCAGGAGGCAGCTGATCGATGATTCTCTCTCATCGATGTTTCTAACTCTCTATCTCTCTCCCTTCCTCTCTGTAAAAAATCAATAAAATATATATTTTTTAAAAAAAGTGGTGGCTTGAAGGGGACAAAAATAAGTTCTGAATCGGGTCATGGCCTGAGAGAGGCACTTTTCCTAGTGTAGTTGCGTGAGTTGTGGCGATGCCCCGGGTGAGAACACACACACGGTGCTTCTCTGTACCAGTGATTTGAGCAGAGATTTCTCCTGTGTTAAGTTAGTACTCCAGACAGAAGCTGCTCATGACAACCCCTCCCCATCCTCCCTCCCACTCCACCCTGCAACAAGAGGGGAGAAGGTACCGTTTTCTGCTCTCCAGTAACTAGCAGAAATGTTCTAAATGATTTGAAATCCTCTTGTGAAAATTCTTAATAAAAAAATCTGATGGAGTTTGGATCACTGGAATGTTTTCTTTTAAATATATTTTATTGATTTCAGAGAGGAAAGGAGAGGGAGAAAGAGATAGGAACATCAATGATGAGAGAATCATTGATTGGTTGCCTCCTGCATGCCTCCTACTGGGGATCGAGCCCGCAATGCAACCCAGGCATGTGCCCCCGACTGGAATCGAACCTGGGACCATTCAGTCCACAGGCCGACACTCTATCCACTGAGCCAAACCAGCATGGGCTCCATACCATTTTATATGGGGAATGTGAGCATACAAGTATTTGGTCTCCCTTATAGTGGGTTCTGGAACCAATCCCCCACAAATATAGATGGATGACTTAATTTTCAGGGAGTCAGAAGTTATATGTGAGTTTTTGACTGCACGGAGGTTGATGCCCCAACCGCCCCCCGTGTTGTTTATTTTAAAGATTTTTAAAAATATATATTTTCCTTGATATCAGAGAGGAAGGGAGAGGGAGAGAGATAGAAACATCAATAATGAGAGAGAATCCTTGATTGGCTGCCTCCTGCACACCCCCCACTGGGGATGGAGCCCACAACCCAGGCATGTGCCCTTGACCAGAAGTGAACCTGGGACCCTTGAGTCCACAGGCCAATGCTCTATCCACTGAGCCAAACTGGCTAGGGCCACCCCTCTGTGTTGTTAAGGGTCAACTGCAAATGTAAAAAATTTCTAATTCTTAGTGAGTCAAATATCATCTTGAAAAATTAAGGATGATCGTATTAGTGATAAAGTTACAGAAGACACTTATGAAAGAAACTAATGTTAAATAACTATATATTTACAAACTTTCCCTACTAGTGTCCCAAGAGAACCTACACCTACTCAGGTTCCTCAAACATCAGGTGCTCTACCATTTATTTTACACGGAGTATAAAAGCTAAATGATAAAGGAGAAATAGGGAGAAATTTGTAATAGGTTTGAGGTTTTATTTTAGAATGATGGAAATGTTATGGAGCTAGATGGTTCCACTTTTTAAAATTATTTATTATGCCCTGACCAGTTTGGCTCAGTGGATAGCGCGTTGGCCTGTGGACTGAAGGGTCCCAGGTTCAATTCCGGTCAAGGGCATGTACCTAGGTTGCGGGCACATCCCCAGTAGGGCAAGAAATCAATGTTTCTCTCTCATCGATGTTTCTAGCTCTCTATCCCTCTCCCTTCCTCTCTGTAAAAAATCAATAAAATATATTTTTTAAAAAATTATTTATTATTATGTATTGGTTTGGGGTGTATGCTTAGTGGTTAGACAATCATATACTGTACAGAGTGTCCCCTGATAATTCTAGTTCCCCAACTGGCACCATACATAGTTATCACAATATTATTGACTTTCCTATGACTTACTTACCTGTGAGTATTTTGTAATTAGCAATTGAATTGTTCACTTTTTTTTTCTTCTTTTTTTTTCTTTTTCTTTTTTTTAGCGACGCTCAGACAGGCGTAGCCCCGGGAGGATGAATTGTTCACTTTTATTTATTTTATTTTTTTATCACCATTTATCCCCCATACACCCTCTCCCACCTCCACCCATCCCCTCCCCCTGAGAATTGTTCACTTTTATTTTTTTTTTTTGGTAATGTATTTTTATTGATTTCAGAGAAGAAGGGAGAGGGAGAGAGAGATAGAAACATCAATGATGACAGGGAATCATTGATTGGCTGCCTCCTACTCACCCCCTGTAGGGGATCGAGCCCACAACCTGGGCATGTGCCCTTGGCCATGAATTTTTTACATTTGCAGTTGACCCTTAACAACACAGAGGGGTGGCCCTAGGGCAAGAATTATTCACTTTTAAATGGTAATTTTGTTACATGACTTTTACCTAAAACATTTTTAAAATTAAAAACACCTAAGTGATGCATTTCTTCTATTATTCTTAGAATATATTACTTCTAAATATTAGCACTTCATCTCTATTGATGTGTATGTTATTAACATAGGACACTATATAAAATGAATCTTTTAACATAATATTTTAAAAGAATCATCAAAATACCACTCTTACTTGCATTTTCAGACTTCAGCATTTTAATTTCTTCTGTTTTTAGTTTCAAAGTCTCTTTGAGGACTGCATTTTCACAGTTTAGCCTGGGAAAAAAGTAACCACCAAATAACTAAAATATTAACACTTTGTACTTATATCAGAATGTTTTCATCCCTTAGAGCACAAAAAAATAAATATAATTTTTCCTACTTCAAAAGTCTAGAATTTAGATGTTACAAAATAAAGACAGTTTAAAGGAGTGTGGAAAGGTTTTGTACATACTCTAAACCCTTCAGTACAGCTCAGAAAAAATCAGAACCAGAAATAGCTCTAAGGCAACCATTTTGAATATTCATTCTCTTTACTGAAGTTTTAATTCAGTTTAATAAACATATCCTTGGGTGAGGATTAAAAAATTAAAATTAAATTCACACTAATGAAAGAGTTGATCAAAAGATTTTGTTTGAAAAAATAGTATCAATGCTAAAATAACTTGGGAAACAATGACTCTTACATTGTTTTTAAAAATACAGTTTAGCCCTAGCTAGTTTGGGTCAGTGGATAGAGCGTCGGCCTGTGGACCAAAGGATCCTGGGTTCAATTCCGGTCAAGGGTACGTACCTAACTTGCAGGCTCCTCCCCAGCCTGGGCCCTGGTCAGGGCTCGTGCAGGAGGCAACCAATCGATGTGTTTCTCTCACATTGGTATTTCTCTCTGTCTTCCCTCTCTCTCCCACTTTCCCTAAAAATGAATGGAAAAATATCTTCAAGTGAGGAATAACAAAAAAAAAGTAAAAAAATTAAAATACAGTTTAGCCCGGCCAGTATGGCTCTGTTGAGATTAGTCCCATGTACCAAGAGGTCACTGGTCCGATTCCTAGCCAGGGCACACACCCGAGTTTCAGGCGGGATCCCCAGTAGGGGCTGTGCAGAAGGCAGCCAATTGAGGTTTCTTCCTCTCTCTCTAAAATCAATAAAAACATAACAAATAATAAAAATACAGTTTATACTATTTTTTAAACAAGAAAATTAAAACTAACAGAAAGACATGGAGTTAGCTCAAGGAAGAAGAAGGCCTAAGCTACATTTGAATTACAAACATTTTAAAGATTCACAAAGAAAAACTATAGAATAGTAATATACAAACCTGTCATATTTTTGGGTCCAAGTTTCCTCTATATTTTTTATTCTATTCTGATCAAATTCTATTTTCCACTGCAAGGAATTTATTTCCTATAGAAAGAAAATAGCATTTCAGGACATTGTGACTAGCTGAACTAAATAATATAATCATTTCACAGAAATAGGTTCAAGAGGAAAAAAACTAAGTATTGATCAAAAAGAGTATGACGTTTGTAAACACACATAACATACCTCTTTAGCACTCAAAAGAGCTTTACCAAAGCTTGCTTACTATAGGAGAAATTTAAAATTGTTTAGGTTAACAATTTGCTGGTCCAAACCTAGATTTCTCATCATTCCCCCCGAACCCTCTAACCCCGTGGTCGGCAAACTGCGGCTCTCGAGCCACATGCGGCTCTTTGGCCCCTTGAGTGTGGCTCTTTCTAAGCCTTAGGAGTACCCTAATTGAGGTAATAACAATGTACCTACCTATATAGTTTAAGTTTAAAAAATTTGGCTCTCAAAAGAAATTTCAATCGTTGTACTGTTGATATTTGGCTCTGTTGACTAATGAGTTTGCCGACCACTGCCCTAACCCATGCAGACTCCACAAGCAAAATACACTCCTGGAAGTCTGCACCCAGGACCGTTTCATCAAGGGAGAGTACTACCAGCACAGGAACAGGACCTTCAAGGGTGATACCTAACTACTGTTTTAGTGAAGATCAGGTGGCCAGACAAAGGCAGGCTCTGGAAGCAGATAAAGAAAAGAAGAAAAATAGGAAGTGTCAACTTGGCAGGCCTCCTAATACCTTAAAATGAGGAAATAAAAGAAACCGTCTTTGCCCATTTGACAATCTGGATTATAAGCTCCAAAGGGGAAGGAACCATATGAAGTGAAGCACACCTAGCAGAGGGTGTGCACAAACAACATATCCATTGATCAGGTGACCTTTAAGGAAATTCTGTTTGAGAGCTTGTTGGATTAACTACATCTTTGCTAAAAATGCAAATACCTTCTCCAAGGATCTCTTTTCGTCCACAGTTTTTTGAAATATTGCCTGGGTATGACTTGTGGCTTTGCCAAATATTGCCTAAGAACAATAAAAATCATATCAGTACAAATAAAATTTCTAATCACTCCTATAGGCATGATGAAGTTAACATTTTTATTTTATTTTTTTTAATATATTTTATTGGTTTTTTATAGAGAGGAAGGGGAGAAGGATAGAGAGTCAGAAACATTGATGAGAGAGAAACATCGATCAGCTGCCTCCTCCACACCCCCTACTGGGGATGTGCCCGCAACCAAGGTACATGCCTTTGACTGGAATCGAACCTGGGACCCTTCAGTCCACAGGCCGACGTTCTATCCACTGAGCCAAACCGGTTAGGGCTAACATTTTTATTGTAAGACAACAGAAAAGTAATTTGAGATGAGAATTTCCACAGAGACCACCTTTTGTGGAGTATTTGATAGTTCAGAAGTCAGAAGATCTTGGTTTGGGTCATCCCCAATGAATGTGAGCATGCACGAAAGGATTTGCACACAGACTTGTACACAGACATTCAAAACGTCCAAAGAATGGAAACCCAAATGCCCATCAACTGGTGAACGGATAAAAAAAATAAACAAAATGTGCCAAACCTGTATAATGGAATATTATTTGGCAATAAAAAGGAAGAAAGTGCTGACACAGTCTATACGATGCTTGAACTTTGAAAGCATGCTACCTAAAAGAGTCAGGTGCAAAAGAATCCAGGCACATATTCTATGATTCTATTGATGGGAAATAGAAAAGACAAATCTATAAGACAGAAGGTAGATTATGGATGGGAATGGGAAGTGACTCCTAATGTGTATGTAGTTCCTTTTTGGGGTGTTGAAAATGTTCTAAAATTAGATTGTGGTGATGGTTGTATAACTTCAGTTTAGTAAAAATGAACTGTATGCTTACAAGTGAATTTTATAGCATGTAAATTATACCTCAATAAAACTGTTAAAAAAGTCTAGACCTCAAAAAGAAACTCAATTATCTTAAGCACTGCTACTTTTGTTTTAAAAGCTAAAACCATACAACTGAGTACTGAAATGTGATGGAAGTTTTAAAAAAACTTCTTACCATGCTTTGAAGAATTTTCAGTGCTGCCTCTTTACCTTCCAGTTGTCTTTGAGAGGCCTCCAGTTCAGTTTTTAAATTTTCTACCTCCTGAGGAGAGAAATAAAATGAGTCTTCTTATCGGCAATCCCAAATGATCAATTTGATAGTCTACATTTAAGTTCCATATTCAGTTTGACTGAATGCACTCTGACCTTATAAATGAGGTTGGAAATTCCTATGGGCTCTATAAGTGGACCAGACAGACAAAAATTGAGAGCCTCACTACCAGGTGCTATTTGTAACTCAAAACCCAAATCTTTTGCTTTTACGCATCTAGGCCACACAGCTAAGAATTTGAAAGAAAAAAAGAATTCCTTAGACCACATAAAAGAAACACGAGTGTTCACAAAGCAACAGTAGTTATTATTGGTTGAATTGTGTCCCCCCAAAAGAAATGTTCAAGTTCTAACTCCTGATAGTGTGACTGTGACCTTATTTGGAAATAGTCTTTGCAGATGTAATCAAGTTAAAATGAGGTCAGGTTGGATTAGGGTAAACCCCAATGACTGGTGTCCTTATAAAACAAGAAAAATCTGGACACGGACACACAGGGGACAAGGCCAAATGACGACAGACGCGGAAACTAGAGTGATGCTCCCGCGAGCCAAGGAATGCCAGGAGCAAGCATTGTCGGGAAGCTAGGAAGAGGGACAGGATTCCCCTCCAGACCTCTCAGAGGGAATATGCACCCACACACACACACCTTGATTTTGGATTTCTGGCCTCCGGAGCTGAGAGAATAAATCTGTTGTTTTAAGCCCAGAGCGTGTGGCACGTTGTTTCAGCAGCCGCAGGAAACAGTACAGCGGCTTTCACAGGAGTCACAAACACACGAAGACAGGCTTCCTGCTTCCCACAGGAAAGGCACCCTACCCCCCAGGAACCCCTACTCCCAGCAGGAGGAGCCACCTCCTCGGCCACCTGGCAAACTTTCTGGTCTTTTGACTTCAAAGAGGTTAAAGTAAGTCAGGTTATTTCAAGCCAGAAAAGACAGATGGAAAGAAGTGGTAACTATTTTCTCCAGAAGATTCGAGAAGTAGTAGTGGGCGGGGGGATGGGGGGATAGGGGTGGGGGTGGGGAGGAGAACTGGAGGGCATATTTAAGTAAAGAGCCTTTTTGAGAGATGAGGAGGATAAGAAACTCAGGAGCCAGCTCATAGTTTCACCACATGGCTCCTTCGCAATATCTGGAAAGCCAACATTTGCCTTCCACACAATTTTAGGATTCCTTAAACAAAATATCTACCAGTGGGCCTTTATTCCCATGAGAATTTTTATGTTAGAGTACCCACCTCTAATGCTTCATCAAGACGTTGCTTTAACTCTACATTTGGCAATTCCGAATTAGAATCTATTAGAAAAAAAACACATTTGCTTTAACTAGTAATATAAGGACATTTGTTTACAAATTATCAAATATAGATTTCCCCTAAATTGCAAAGAGAATTGTAATAAACCAAAAAATGATAAAAATAAGTAGCTTAAAATATTTCACAAATGAAGAGATACATAAAGGGTGTCCCAAAATTCACGCAAGAAGTAATTTTGATAGAAAACACAGGTTTATAATGAAAAATTGTAATTTTTTCATTGATTCATAAAGTATACAGTATAGGGTTATGTATGGAATAGCACATCGGGTAAATGGCCTCCACGGCTTTGCTGGCACATACGCACTCTTTTGTTGAAATTTTCCATGACTGTTTTGCATAAATGTGGCTGAATTTCGATGAGGCTCATTTTCATCTTGATGGCTTGGTTAATCGACAAAATTGTCACATTTGGGGTTCAGAAAATCCACGAGTGATTGTTGAGAAACAAATGCATCCACAACGTGTCGCTGTTTGGTGCGGATTTTGGGCTGGAAGCATCTTCGGACCATTCTTCTTCGAGAATACGGCTACTCAGGCAATAACAAAAGAGTGCATACATGCCACATAACCCTATACTGTATACTTTATAAATCAATAAAAAATTTACAATTTTTAATTATAATTCTATGTTTTCTATCAAAATTACTTCTTGCGTGAATTTTGGGACACCCTTTACTTTGAATAAAAAGACTTTTAAGAAGGACTCTAAAATAAAACTGTTGTTGCCTTAGCTGGTTTGGCTCAGTGGATAGAGCATCGGCCTGCACACTGAAGAGTCCTGGGTTCGATTCCAATCAAGGGAACATGCCTGTGTTACAGGCCCAATCCCCAGTAGGAGGCGTGCAGGAGGCAGCCAATCAATGATTCTCTCTCATCATCCATGTTTCTATCTCTCTCTCCCTCTCCCTTCTTCTCTGAAATCAATAAAAATATATTTTAAAAAAACTGTTGTTAATAATTGGGTCAGTTACTACATATTACTACTATACAAACACAATACAAAAACACATGAATGTTGGTGAATGAACTAAATAAGTTTTGGTGTTGGCTTAAATTTGATCAATGTAGTGATATGAATACCTAAGAAATAACCTGAATTTAATTTCTTTCCAACAAGAATGACTAGCAGTCTCCTATAACTTCAATTATTCTCTCCTTATGTGATCAACTGAGACATAACACTGAGCTTTCCAGGAGCTTCATTTTCATTGTGGTCTCACTGGCAACAGGAAAACGTTAAAGTGGCAAGTTACAAGTGGGAGGAAAAGAAGAAAATTAGAAAGAATATTTTGAGGAATATTAAAATTTTCTCAAAACAATTTTTTCCTTTGCTATTCTGAATTTTCATCAACATGACAGTATCCAAGGTAAAACCTACTTCATGTTTTTACTCTGATGATACAAAGTTTTAAAGGAGGGACAAAAGTAACATTGGATGGACAATGACAAGTTCTGTTTTATTAATACTTGTGGTAGGCAGAACAATGGCCCCCAACAATGCCCACATCCTAATCCCCATAACCTGTGAATACATAGCAAAAAGGACTTTGCAGATGGGATGTACTTGGAGATGGAAGAGTACCATGGGTTACCCAGGTGGGTCCAATGTCCTCACAGGGTCCTTATCAATGAAAGAGGAAGGCAGGAGAGTCAGTGTCAGACTCTCACCAGCCACTGCTGGCTTTGAAGATGGGGCAAGGGGACCATGGCCAAGAAATGCAGGCGGCCTAGAAGCTGGAAAAGGCCAGGGAACGGCTTCTCCCCTAGAGCTTCCAGAAGGAAGGCAGCCCTGTCGATGGCTTGATTTTAGCCCAGTGAGACCTGCTTGGGACTTCTGACTATCTACAGAACTGTAAGATAATAAATGTCTTTTGTTTTAAACCATTAAATTTCTGGTAATTTGGAAACAACCTATTAGGAAACTCACACAACATTCTTACCTAAGATCAGGTCAACTTTGATAAAAGATAAAAGCCCATAACCCAACAAAACAAGAGCTCATACTATTGCTATTGCATCTCGTTTCTATCCCAGTGGTTTCCCCATGTTTTTACAAAGCATCATATTCAGTTTTCAACATCTTGCTTGCAAAATAGTATGCATTCCTATGCATGATAAGAAATTGGGAGAAAAATATATAAATAATCCCATCCTAATTTCAAAAAGGATTTTGTAGGATAGGGATAGATCCCCAACTACAACATGTTGTTTGTAAATCTAAAATCATGTTTCTTAAGTTACTTTTGTGTTGTTCTAATGTGTGTTTGTTTCACTTTGGTGGGGAAGTTTTACAATGTGGATTACAAAAGATACAGTCACAAAAGCTGTACCACGGCGCAGGCATAGGCCTCATCCTTGGGTTCCCAAACGCTGTGCAGTTGTACCATTCTATCACAGTATGATCTGCATTTTATTCTTTCCTTAATGTACAGCTTAATTTATTTTTAGTTATAATAAGTGAAGATTAATTTTTTGTGTTTTAAAAATATGTTTTTATTTATTTCAGGGAGAGGGAGAGAGAGATAGAAACATCAATGATGAGAGAGGATCACTGATCAGCTGACTCCTGCACACCCCCTACTGGGGCCTGGGACCACAACCCAGGCATGTGCCCTGACAGGGAATGGAATCATGACCTCCTGGTTCATGGGTCAAGAATGCTCAACCACTGAGCCACACCAGCTGGGCAAGATTAATTTTGTTTTTCTAATTTTTGAGAATTTCATGACATCCCTAAAATAAGCAGAAACTTGTGTGTTCTGCTGGTAACACTCCTTCCCCAGATAAGCACTGGGCTTGCCTGCTCAAATGTCACCTCCTTAGCAGGCCTCCCCTGACCTTTGCCTAAAATAGCAGTGTCCCAGCCTCTCCAATCACTCACTATCCCTTCACTTACCACTGCCTGATGTTATACAGCTGCTGATTTGTAGGTTTATTCTGTCTCCTAGACTACAGTTAGGGCCTTGGACAATTTTGTTCAATGATGTTATTCCCAGAGCTTAGAACTGTCCCAGGAACCTAATAGGTACCCAATGAATATTTTTTGAATTAAAAAAAAAAGGAATACATGAAGTCTACCACTATATCACAAACAAAAAAAGCAAGGTAGGTAATTATTCACTGATATAACTAACATGTGTGTATTAATGCAGAATAACTAGTGTACTTTGCAATTTGAACAATTCTTGGAAATAGAGACATCAATTACTTTTGAACCATCACCAATCTCAAGAGGTGAATAGAGAAACATCTCTAAAATGCACTCTGGTGACCACTGTCCTGTGTGGGGAGGGAGGTGGGGATACGCATTCTTACCAGTGCTACTGTGTCGTCTGTGATGGGGGGTCCTGGGCCCTTCATGGTATGTGCCTTGAGGCCTGGGACGCCGACAAACAGCACCACTTCTTTCTTCCCCCTTCCTGGGAGACAGGGGAGGGCTACAGTTCGTCTCATCTGATCTTCTTCTAGATGTGACCAAGTGTGAAACTGGCACTTCATAAATACCGCCCGGCCTTCTCCCGAGGCCGTACCCTAAGTCGCCTTCTGCCATGTCATCGTCCTCCGCTTCCCAGGTCTGCGCCCCGGCCTCACTCGGTGGCCTCAACGCCCTGCTCATCAGCCAGGTGCCGCGGTTACCATAAGGAAAACCGGCTTATCTGCAGGTAGGAAGAAGAGTAGTTAAAACACCGTCAGGGTAAGAGAGTTGGGTTTTCCAGGGAGCACCAGCACACAAACGCAATCCAGTTCAACATGTAAGGACTTACTGGTGAGGGAAATTCTCACTTCTTATTTCAAAGAAGCAGCGAATGGGGAGGAAGCAGGAAAGGCAGTTACTGAATAACCTATTGATCAGGATAAAGCAGATGGGTCTTTGCCAAGGAAACAGAGATACAAAAGGTTCTGTTTTCACCAGCCTAAGAGCTACATAAAATTCAGACAAGTCTCTGAAAAAAAAACGAGCCTTGCAATGAACGACCAAGAGCGTCCTGCCTCTGTCCCCTCGCCGCCCTTTATTCAGTTCAGGTGCCCAGGGCTCTTCGGTTCCTCCGACAGCCCCTGTGCAGACACTATTAGCAAAGGTTTTGTATGTGGGACAGTCCTAGGTGGGAGGGGGGAAGGTGCCCCACCTCCCTCTCAAATCAGATTGCCTCCGTTCAAAACCTATGTCTCAATGCAACCAGCGCAAACCGCAAAGCCTTTCCAGTGGCGCAGGGCCTGATGCCCATCTCTGCCCGCCCTCAGCCAAGGCTGACTGCCCTGGCCTCCGGTGCTGTGGACCATGCCAAGTACTCCTGCCCCAGAGCTTTGCACTCACCTTGCCTCAGGGAATGAATGCTCTTCCCCCAGAGAGTTGACAGCGGATTCCGCACCTCCTGTGGGTCCTTCCTTCAGTCTTCCCTTCTCAGTGGGGCCTTTCCTGGCACCCCGTCTAAAACTGCAGCCTTCTCCCTGTCCCACTTAGCTGCTTTATCTTTCTCCTTGGCACTTATGACGTTCTAACATACCATATTTTACTCATTTTCAAATCACGCCTCTGAAAGGGGAAAGGGAGCCCAGCAGAGGGAGCCAGGTGAAGCGGAGGGTGGCTCCAGCTGCCTAGGATGTCTGTCAAGAGCTAGGGCACCCTTCAGATTTCCCCCACCAGAGCCCAGACCTGCTGTGGGTGGCCCTGAGAGAAATGTGAGCCTGGCTTGTGTGGCTCAGTGGTTGAGCGTCGACCTATGAACCTGGAGGTCACGGGTTCGATTCCCAGTCAGGGCATATGCCCGGGTTTGGGGCTTGATTCCCAGTATGAGGCGTGCAGGAGGCAGCCGATCAATGATTCTCTCTCATCATTGATGTTTCTATCTCTCTCTCCCTCTCCCTTCCTGTCTGAAATAGACTCAATAAAAATATTTTTTTTAAAAAAAGAAGAAGAAGGAGATGTGAGCTCCACAAGGGCAGAAGTGTTCCTTTGTTTGGATCACCACTCATTCATTCCCAGTGCCTAAAACTGAGACATAACCAGTGCTCAAGAAATCTGGTTAATAAAAGAATAGCCCAACTGGAGTGGCTCAGTTGGTGGAGCATTGACCTGTGCACTGAAAGGTTGCCAGTTCGATTCCCAGTCAGGCACATACCTGGGTTTTAGGTTCGATCACTGGTGGGGCACATACAGAAGGCAACCGATCGATGTTTCTCTCACATCAATGTTTCTCTCTCTCCCTCCCTCCTCTTCCCCTCTTTAAGCATGTCCTTAGGTGAGGATTAACACACACACACACACACACACACACACACACACACACACACAATGACAGCAAAAAGAATAAAGCAAAGAAAGACTATGCAAACAAATCAACTTGCCTCTAGGGCAGAAAAACAAAACCATCACCTCAGCAAGGCTGCACACTGGATAGCATGGGGCTAACTGCCTGCCCTTCTTCCTAGAAGAAAACGTCTGCAGGTAAAAATGCCCTACAGGGAAATCATCCCTGAGCCTTCCGGTCTGAAGACCATCGTAGGCACCTACCTGATGACAGTGGCCTACCTGGTGGCTGGAGAGCACCTGAAATGCTCAGCCCAGTACAGAATACAGTTAAGAGGGGCTTTCATCACCAGATGTTACAAAACAGCTGCTCTGCTGTAGTTATTTAGAAATATTTCATCCTTTTCACAAGACTCATTAAAAAAAAAACCACCCACATCTGACATATTTTTCTAAATATCCTGCTGTTTAAGTAATTGCTTACCAGGACTTTCAAAAATAAATCTCATACATGCAGTCTTTCAAAAATGGTTACATCTTATTTTTTACTGATATCTCTCTCTTATTCTTCCACTATTAAAACTATACATGGATGCCAACTAGATCTGATCACGTATGAAGGGTTTTCTGTTGTTTTTAGGGTCAAAGTACCATATATTTTCAATGTGTAAAAGCAAAGGCCCTTAAGCCCTAGCCAGTGTGGCTCAGTTGGTTGGAGCATCATCCCCTACACAAAAAGGTGGTGGGTTTGATTCCCAGTCAGGGCACAGACCCAGATTGTGGGCTCGATCCCTGGTCAGGAGGCAACTGATCAATGTTTCTCTCTCTCTCTCTAAGAAAAAAAAAGGTCCTTAGAAGATTTGAGATAATCTACACTAATAAAAGAGAAAGATGCAAATTGACCATACCTTCGCAACACCCACCGGCCAATCAGGAGTGAGTATGCAAATTAACCCAACAAAGCTGGTGGGTTAATTTGCATGCGCAGGTGCCGAGCGGCTGGGGGGATTTCGCACCACCCCAGCCGCTCTGGGCCTCTGGGCAGCGTGGGAAGGCGGAAAGGCGGCTCCAGCCAGAGTGAAGGCGGTGCCAGCAGCCAGGGGAAGGAAGACCCATTCTTGCATGAATCTTCATGCATCAGGCCTCTAGTAAATCATAAAAGAAGATACAAAGATGGAAAGACACTCAACATCATTAGTCATTCAGGGAATTGTCGAATTAGACTACAATGACATTCAATCACCTATTACTGACAATTGCAAGTGTTGCCAAGATGTGGACATCCACATACACTATTGGTGGGAGCATAAAATGGTACAGACACTGTGAAAAGTTTGACAGTTTCTTTTCAACAGTGACCCAGCAATTGCATTCTTGTTATTTATCCAAGAGAAACAAAAACATATGTTCATACAGAGATGTGTGTAAGAATGTTCAAAGCATTATTCAAATTAGTCCCAACCTGGAAACAACCCAAATGTCCATCAACAGGAAAACAGACAAGTTACAGTACATCCGTACAATACAATACAATATATTCAGCAATAAATAATAAATTTCTGATATATGTAACAACATGGTGAATGTTACAGACATTTATACTAACTGAAGAACCACATACTGTATGAAATCCTAGCAAAACTAACGTTCATAATAGACCATAGGTCAACAGTTGCCTACGGTGGGAAGGTGAACTTTAAAGGGCACGAGAGAACTTTTTTGGATGATGGAAAAGTCTTATATCTTGACTAGAACGATGGTTGTCAAAATGAATCCAACTATATACTTAACGATGGTGCATTTTCATATATGCAAATTTTACCTCAATAATATGATAGTCACAGAAAAAAATAAGGGAATTTAACTGGATTAGGGGACAAGATGAGAAGTGTGTTAATCAATTGTGCCCTCCTATATAAGGAAATAATTAAAATGGGTGCCTTAAATCAGCAACAATTTTTTAATAACATAATAATAGCGAGCTAGTACGTATTGCTTGCTTTCTGTGTTCTAGACACTATGTTAAGTGCTTTACTTAGATTATTCTATTTATTCTTTACAAACACTCTGTAAGACAACACTGTTACTACTAAGTACAGTTAAATTGAAGCGCACATAGGTAAAGTAACACAGCTAACAAGAGCTGGAGCCAGATTCTGAATCCAGATCCCTGATGTCAGAGACACTGTTACATTCTTAGCCACTGCTTTGTATCATTTGGAGAATTTCAATGAGATTAACATCAGAGTAAATCAAGTTTTTATTACTACATCTAATAGAACTGAAAGTAAAAGCTTAAAATAGCTAGTTTTAGCAACACTCAGCAGTCTATTGGGTCCATTTTTATTTATTTTTATTTTTAAAAATATATTTTTATTGATTTCAGAGAGGAAGGGAGAGGGAGAGAGAGATAGAAACATCAATAATGAGAAAGAATCATTTATTGGCTGCCTCCTGCATGCCCCCTACCTGGAATCAAGCCCAAAACCCTGGGCATGTACCCTGACCGGACTCAGACCGTGACCTCTTGGGTCATAGGTCGATGTTCAACCGCTAAGTCACACCGGCCAGGCAGACCCATTTCCCCCCAAAACTTTAATAAAATCATCTTGGTTCCTTTACAAGTATACTTCCTAAATAAGTAAGTTCTATTTTTATTTGTCAGGGTAGATGGGAAGTTATTTGTTACCTAAGAGGCTGTGTTTTACCTCTAGTCCAGCAGATTCCTGTTTATAACCTCATATCTCTGTTAAGGAAGGTGTGGTCAGGGTTAGGCAGCCAGCAGTGAAGAAAACGGAATTGGTCAACACAAAGGAAAAATGCAATAAGGGGAAAGAATATGCAACCACAGGATTAGCTAAGAATATTTTTTAATGCACCCCCTATATTCAGGCATCAGGAGAACATCTTCCTGCTATTAAGAGTTTAACATAATAGTAAGCTTTCACATGGTCCAATGCCCTACTGTTTTTTAAAATGTAATTCAGGCCATAGCTGGTTTGGCTCACTGGATAGAGCGTCGGCCTTGGGACTGAAGGGTCCCAGGTTCGATTCCAGTCAAGGGCATGTACCTTGGTTGCGGGCACATCCCCAGTAGGGGGTGTGCAGGAGGCAGCTGATCGATGTTTCTCTCCCATCGATGTTTCTAACTCTCTATCCCTCTCCCTTCCTCTCTGTAAAAAATCAATAAAATTATTTTTTAAAAAAATGTAATTCAGGAACTGTTGGCTGTGGACCCTCCCACTTTTTATATACTAATAGTAATATTAATGTGGAATACAATCAAATTAAACTTGACTTTTGGAACATATTACTAACATTCCATTTGACTAGTTTTAAATGCACTCAATGTTGACAACCAGGGAGGCAGTAGATGGGCAACAGAGAAGGCCTGGCCTCAGGAGTTCTGGGTTCAAATTTCACTCCACTAATGCTATTCTGTGATCCTGGGCGAGTCATTTAACTTCTTGGAGCCTGTCTTCAAATTTCCAAAATGGGTTTAAGCATAATTACTTTTTAGAGAGTTATGCTTAGTTCCATAAACCCTATATCTGGGCACCACTGATATATTTGAAATCAATGTTTAATGAATTAGAAGTTGAGTATTAGTTTTTCATCTGTCAAATGAAGGAATTGGACACGATTTTTTTTTGTTCTTTAAAGCCCTAAAATCCCAGTTCTGTATCAACATTTTCCACAGTGCCCCATGGAACCCTAGTTCTATGAACTGTGAGGTGTTGCTAAGAATGAAAGAGCCCTTCTGGTTTTATTATGAGCTGTATTATTTTGAAATGTATTTTATTGATTTTTACAGAGAGGAAGGGAGAAGGATAGAGAGTTAGAAACATCGATGAAAGAGAAACATCGATCAGCTGCCTCCTGCACACCCCCTACTGAGGATGCACCCGCAACCAAGGTACATGCCCTTGACCGGAATTGAACCTGGAACCTTTCAGTCCACAGGCCGACACTCTATCCACTGAGCCAAACCAGTTAGGGCGTACGAGCTGTATTTTACTATGCCAGTCTAGGCACAGGTGCCCAGCCTCAAATTATACAGGCAGTGGCAGCCAGAACTTAGGAACATCTCTCTGGCTCCTTGTTCTGTGGTCTGGTCACTTGGGAAAGGCCACAGAATGAACAGATTGCAGACTGAGCAATCGTCCTACTTCTGCACTAAAACAACTCTCTGAGAAGAGACCAGTGACTTCCTAATCACTAAATCCAAGACATAGTCTCGCTCCTCAGCCACATCCACTTCTGCAGAAGCTGTCCCTGCGGACTTAACCTCCCGCGTCTGCACCCCCCCCCCCCCACTCTCTCTTATCTGCCCCCTCAGGCTCCTTTCCTCTTCCTGTCCCTTGTGTATATGTTTGGCTCCCATTCTTAAGGACACATCTCCAGCAGGATATCCTGGCAGCAATTCAAATGCAGCTTGTTTAAAAACAAATTCATTCCCCTCCCCAGTTCCCGCCGTGTCTCCTCCTGCATCCTCTATTTCTACACCCAGGTCCTCA